TTCCTACTGCGTGCAATAACTGTCAGTTAGGCTCGAACAGAACTCGGCAAACAATCCATCAGAATCAAACCAAGAGTAGAAAAGAAGTTCCCAAATAGAAAACCACAGTCTTTTAGGACTGTTTTTATATGAAATTTATTTTTAAAATTTAGAAGTACGAAAGTGAAGCATAAGAATAACATTTTTTGAGAGACGTTCTAATTGGTTTTGAAATTCTCACTAAAAAATAGGTTAACTGTTAATGATTTTCTCTTTTCACTCACCAGATTCAAAGGTGTGATGTTAGTTTTAACCTATAGCCTGTTACTTTGCTTCTTTGCACTTCAAAAAGATCTGTCACTGATTATGACTTTGCTACTTCCTTCCCTATTGTCCTTACAAAGGATTTTGTGGGTTTAGACCTTACTGTAAAGAAAACAGCCCAAGTAAAATTTCTTGATATTTGCATGTCTATTAAAATCTACACACTTGCATTTTATTTGAACCAATTTAATTGTATAATGTATAAGATAAAGACTTAAGAGTTTCTCTTAGAAAGTTAAAATGTCTTTGTCTCCTTTTCTTTCATGATGCATTCTATAGTAGAATAAGCCAGTCTGCCAGGAACCAAGACTATAACCACTAAGAAGGTGTTTACATTTCTATAAAATTCTGTTGACCCACAGCTCCCCCTCCCCCAAGAAAAGTCATAGTAATACTTTCTAGTCTGTTGTTCTTCAGGGCCATTCTGATAGTGCCTGCCTGCAGTTGTGACATCTCTTCGTATATATCACTTGTGAATGACTTTTGTGTTTAGGCTTGAGCTCACAACTAATGTATCTAATTCTGAATAAGTAGAATATTTCAAAGTTTCTTTAGTAATACCCACATGACTGTTTTTTTTCTGATCTGGTAATCCTCTAGAAGTAATTAACTTCATATGTTTTTGGTGAAGAAATGTTTGAGTTTAGTAGGAGCATTAAGCAAACAAACCAATGAAATTTCAATTTTTGATTTTGTGATTGCTCCTTCACTTCAACACTTCGTTATGGGAGACATTGTAACTTCTAGGGAAGATTTATTTTATTAATTTTTTGAGGTCTCCCAAGGGTTGCTCAGGAGGTACGGGGACCCCTTGAACCCAGCAGTTCCACAGATTATCTTCATCATACTAAAGGTGCGAAAGACCTCCAGGACCAGAACCAAAGGTGTTTGAGTAACCAAGAGGTGATAGAATCAGTTGGCCACATTCAAGGCATGTATATTAACCCCTATACTATTTTTTAGGCCCAATAGAGAAAACTTAAAGATATAGTCCTAATGTCTCTTAACCATATGTTTCTAATAACATTTTCATTTGGATTTTTTTTCAGTATGTTGATCTCTCCTGAGAACTCCAGATTTATTCATGCGTTATCTGATTTACATCTCCATTTGTTATCTAAATAAATATATAGAACATGTAACCTTGGGGTGGAGTTGGGGATATATCATTCAGTGTTCGGGGTGCATGTCTGACAGATGCATTGAACCTCAGAACCACATGGTCCCTCCCCACCTCCCCTAGCACTGCCAGGTATTGTCCTAGAGGCTGCTAAGCTCTACTGGGTATGGCCTTGATGGCCTCAGGATCCCAGCACTACCACAGTGAGCATTGCTCTCTCTCTCTGGTATTGCTTGAGTGGCCCCAGACATATTGAGCACTGCTTGGGAGCAGCTCTTGTGTAACTTTTGGTTCCCTTTCATGAGCACTCCACTTCCTTGTACCTACTTTTTCATAGTGCTACTAATCATTTTGTTTAGATCAAAAGCATTGTACTTATGCAATCTACAAGCAAGTCAGTTTCCAGAATAGTTCCCAGTCTTTCTAATTCTTCCCCAGTCCATTTCCTCATCATAGTTCCAGCTACCATCTTCTCTTATGTAAATTATGACAGTGGTCTTCTGCCTCTCACAGTCCCTTTTCCCTTCAGACCTAGCACGATCCTCCAAAAGTACAGATCAGATCCTCTCCAGCTTAAAACCCTGCAGCAAATTCTCATCAGTCCTGGAAAAAATTGTAATTCCTTGTCCTGTAAAGCCTTGTATGGTCTGCTGTCTGGCTACCTCTGGTGTTTTATCTCATCATTTTTGTCTCACTGATATCCTTACTTTTCCTCTAGTACCCTTAGCTTATTCCCACCTCAGGGCTTTGACCTTCATTTTCTCTCTTCTGGAATGTTCTTTTTCCAATTTTTCAACTGGTTGACTTCTTAAAACTGTTGTAGCCTTCCCAAAAATGTTAACTCCTCAGAGAGGTCTTCCTAAATTCTGTTTCTCTTCTGTTGTTCTTCACCCTTTTACTTATTTCATCCCTAGAAAAGACCACTATCTAATCTTATTTATTTGCATATTTATTTTAATTTACCATTTTCCCTCAAGTGTAAACTCTGAGAACAGGGATTTCGTCTGTCTTCTTTACTGATATATCCCCAGTGCCTATAACATATTCTGGTGTGTGCAGTAGATGCTTAATTTATATTTATGGTTAAATTAGTGAATAAATGAGTTCTGAGTGATGAAGATTATAACTGATGAATCAGTTTAGATTATATTTTAGTGAGGATGTTTCTAACAAATTTTCATAAAATTCAGGTGATTCACTCAAAGGTAAGGGAATGGACTTTTTTCCTTTTCATTATCCTATTAATTTATGACAAGGGAAGAGAGATTAGCAATCAAAGTTAGATTACTCTTCCTTTTTTGTAAATGTGCATACAAAAGGGTCATAATCCATCAAGTGTGCATACCTTTTATTTGCGACTTGGTGTGAATGTTACATGCTTGAATAGCAGTACAAAGTGTACTCCAGACTTAAGAGTCTGAAATTATGATAAGTACTCATTATGATGAGAACAGTTTGCACTGAACAGACAATAGCTGGGCATACATCTTTCTCAAAAAAGAAAACACCAAATCTCAATCTTAGTGTTTGATAAACAGCAATTAATATAACAATATATTCTGAATATGTAATGATTTTCCAGGAATGGATGAAGTATAATGAATACTTGCATATTTATTTTGTGAATGTAAATGTCTGCAAATCAATAAGAATATATGCCTTAATTAAGGCAGAAGTGAAGAAGATCTTTTTCTTTCCCTTGCTGTATGTCATTAGACTACAGTCATTAGGCTTAAAGGTCATAGGCTAACCAAAACGAACTGGTGATAAACATCTTTTGTTATTATCTCTTTTATTCCTGGGACTCATCAGAATTTTTCTTAGCCTCTCCTTTCCAGCATACCGGTTTTTTATATTCTGTCATTTAATGGAAAAGTAGCAACCTTCAGAATTAAGAGCTTTTCTCCCTGACTTTCTTTTTAAATTTTCTAGTCATCTATTGTCTGTGTTCCATTGTATGGTTGTAATTTTTTCTGTAAGACTTTGGACACTTCTTCTACCTATTTTTGGCAAATTTTCACATGCTGTATTCTAATTTCTTTTTTTACAATGAAGTTTTAGTTATATGTAGCAGTACATCGATCTTTTGATCACTTGTCTTGATAGCAAGAAATATCAGCTCCATCCTTACCAAGGAGTGTAAAGTTTGGGATATTTGTGACTGACCTTAAGGTCTGACAGAGTTTAACATTTAAATTAATTTAAATTAGAACATAATTTTCTTTTAAGTGAGGTTTGATTTTTATTCTAGATGAAATACTGTTTTAAAATTGGAGTGACAGTCCCTAAGTCTCAGATTTTGATACACATACAAAATAGGAGTTTGCAAATGCTGACTTCTCGTTAGATCATAGATAAATTGATCTTAAATTGGCATCTTAGCAGTTTCCAAAGACCACCAGTCCAGGAATAGTGATCACCTATTCTTAAAGTATATTTGGTCCTTTTTAATCTATCCCTCACCCTCATTACTCTCTCTACCTGGGAGACTGGCTGAGGATTATACAAGGGCTCCTGTGCCCTCTGACTTTCTCTGATGGCATAGTCCCAGCAGGAGATCAAGAGAGGGATGGGAGTGAGGTCAGGCTAATTATTCTCCTGGTTCTCTCCTTATAGGGTTGCCTTGGGCTGCCTGTGCCCCTCGACCTAAGGTCATGGTTTCTTACTATAAGACTTTCTCCTGTTGGGCTCCTGTAATAAGTCCTTCCTCTCATCTTCTTTCCCTTAAGAGCCATTACACTCCTGCTGCTATCAGTCCTGAATAAGAGTAGTGTCCCTTATAGTTTCCCTACTCTGTGTATGCTTTTGCAAAAAAGTCCCTTCACTTTGGTTTATGCAAATTTTCCTAATATGAATGTGATCTCTGTTTCTTAATCAGAGTCCTCTCTGATACAATTATTATCCTTTCTTGAATTTGGGATTTTTTAGTTTTTTATTTGTATTTTAGCTTTAAAATTTTTTTACAGATTGTCTGTTACAGAGACATTATCTGAATAATGGCTGTGGAATGGGCACAAAGTAAGAGTCATTACCTCCTGGGGGAATCTGGCATGTGAAATAGACAAGTTACTGTTTTGTCTTTTTTTCTCTTTTTTCAGTATTCAATCAACATTTATTGAATAAATGAATAGCCTCTGTAATTTAAACATAGTGAACTTATCAGAGGCAGATATTAATATGAGCAGGTATAAATGTATTGAGGGGTCAGAGAGTTAGTGCAATGGGTGGCACTTGCCTTGTGTGCAGATGATCTTGGTTTCATCCCTGGGACCCCATATGGTCCTCTGAGCCCATCAGGAGTGATCCTGGAGCAAAGAGCCTGGAGTAAGGAGTAAGCCCTGATCACAGTCAGGCATGACCCTGCCACCAAAAATTTTTAAAAAAATTTTTATTAGTGAAACACCGTGAGGTACAGTTGTAGACTTAACAATTTTTTGTGTTTGGGTTTCAGTTATACAATGATCGAGTACCCATCCCTCCACCAGTGCCCATTCTCCACCACCAATGATCCTAGTATCCCTCCCACCCCCCATCCCCCCATCCCACCCTGTCTCTGTGGCAGGGCATTCCGTTTTGTAAAAATATGGAATGCTTCACGAATTTGCATGTCATCCTTGCACAGGGGCCATGCTAATCTCTGTATCGTTCCAATTTTAGTATATGAGCTGCTGAAACGAGCACCAATTTTTTTTTTGAGTGTTGAAAACAACTGCACTAGAACCTCTGACTGAGGTAGTTTTTTCTTTCCTACTTCCAAAGCCTACTAAACTAGAAGATACCTTAGAACCTGTGTACCCAGAGTCTGGCAGGACAGGAAAGATGTCACATCCCCTATCCAGTGTCTGGGGGAGGAATGCGTGAGAGAGACTTAGTAAGGCTTCTTAGGTATCTATATACTTGTTTTATGTCAGTATTTGAGAATATTGAGGCTAAGCTTTATGTACCTAATGAGAAATATCATAACTATCTAACTACCAAACTCTTCCTGATATTTAAGGAAGTGGAGTAGGGGAAGGGCATCACACATATGACAACCTAGGTGGAATGCTTCAAGTACCATTGGGGAAACTAGAACCAAATTTTCCACTCTTCCTGAAAGAGTAGAACTTGTTACTAAAAGATTATAATAAATTGTGTTAGGATTTTGTTGAAACCTTACTAATTCTAGTTTTTTTTTTATTACTCTAGCTCCTGCTTTAAGTATATCTCAACTTTTTCTCCTTGAGCTGTCTTGCTCTTTTTTTTTGTGGATAATCAAAATGCAATCTCTAGGGGAATGATTGTATTTAAATTTAGGCATTCCTAGTTGTTTGGCCTGGTGGAAGATAGGGATGTTGCGGAACATCCTACAACACACAAGACAGTTGTCTCCACCCCCACCTGCCATGGCAAAGACTTATCCAGCTTGAAGAATTAATAGTTTCAAGACTGAAAAGCCCTAACATATACAGTTATTTGTCCAATATAACTTTCTGTGGTGATGAAAATGATGTATACTAGTAGTCATTACTGCCTGTCATTATTGAACTGATGGTACAAAGAAGTAGGCAGTGGCACAAGGGACTGTAGGATTCCCAACTGGCAGTGGTGGATATGCTTACCAGTTACAGGCCTGTGGGACAGGGGAGGGACCCCTGCTGGGACTCTGTACCATGGAGGAAAGAGGACAGGCTGTCTGGGAGGAGCACCTACCTTTGGTGGAGGATGCAGGCAGCAGTAGATCTGGCTAGAAGGAAAATACTTGATCTCACTCTCTCCCTTCCTTCCAGTTCTTCCTTCCTTCCTTCAAGGCCCTTCTAAGCTACTCACAGACAGAAATCAGAGTATAGCTAACCTTAGTGGATGTGGTACATACAGATTTGTCTCCTGACACAGAACAGAGAAGAGATGACTATAGATATGTCCAGAACATTTTGCCTGTTTTTTTTTTCCATTAAGGTTTCTTCTCCCAGTGGCCCTCCTACAAATACTTTTTGTTCTCCCACTGTGAATCAGGTTTCTTTTATTAACTCCAGTCTGTCCTTTAGAACTGAGACTGTTTTAACCCTAGTATGCACGGGTACGATTTCTCAATCTCTCTGTTCTGCTTACCTAACAACACAACCCCATTCTCTTGCATACTAAAGTCGTACTTCTTCTGCCAGTCCTGTAGTTTATTTTCTGGGCTAGCACTCTGCATCTGTGCCCACTCATAAAAATGAATAACACATGAACATATAACAGTCTCAAAAAGAATTATTCAGCCATACTATCCGTTTACTTGCATGACAACATGTAGTATTAGAAGTCACAGGAGCATTAATGGGTGTTGACTTTAAATGGATTAAATTTCATTTTTAATCATCTGTGGCAACGAAAGAATATCATAACTCAGAAACTCAGAAAGTTTTGGACAGGATAAATATAGATAATGTTTGAAATATAGAATGTGTGGATCTGGGTAAAAAAGTAAAGAAAAGGCCCTCCCGTTGATCATCGATTTGCTCGAGCGGGCCCAGTAACGTCTCCATTGGAGACTTTGTTGTTACTGTGTTTGGCATATCGAATACGTCACGGGGAGCTTGCCAGGCTCTGCCATGCGGGCGAGATACTCTAGGTAGCTTGCCGAGCTCTCCGAGAGGGGCGGAGGAATCGAACTCGGGTCGGCCATGTTGGCTGCGTGCAAGGCAGATGCCCTACCCGCTGGGTATTGCTGTGATATAAACTTCCACCATTAACTATTTCAGACTCTGGACATATTATCTTGCAAACTGGTCAGAGCCAGCACCACTACACTGTGGTTTATCTATTGTTATTTATTGTGATTGTATTTTAAACTAAGACTTAAAATTTTTAAACTAAGTTCATTTAAAAATGACAATCATTCATTGTTAGTGAAAAAATAATTTTATGAAAATAACTTTTCCAAAGCAAGAAATTCAAGGAAAGAAAATAATTTTTTACTCTTTTTTCAAATTTTAAAAAATTTTGACTTACTAAAAAGCAACTGTTAAATCAGTTGCAGAATCATCTCATGTAACTTCTGGGAAAATCCATTGAAAACTCATGAGAAAATTAGTAGAAAAGATTCTATCTTATTTCTATTATAAAAGGTTCTAACTTTGTGGTGCTCTGAAAGGATTTTAGAGACAACCCCCCTCCAGGTCCTTATTTCCATACTTTGAGATTTGCTGTTTATTTGGGGAAGTACTCCCAAATTAATTTATTGAACATAATATTAAGAGCTTGAGGGTCAGAGAGATGGATAATGCAGTGTATAAGGAGCTTGCCTTGCATGCAGCTGACCTAGGTTTGATCCTTGGCAGCATGTGCTCACCTCTGAGCACTGCCAGGGGTGATCCCTAAGCCATAAGCACTTCCAGGTGTGTCCCAAATCCCTACCCTGCCAGAAAACAAGTTTTAGTAGTTTTCCTATCATGTTGATATATTGAAACAGAAAATTTTTTAATTCTTAAAAAGTATTTCCCTTTCAGAATGCCTTGCCACAGAGGCGAGGTGGGGTGGGGAGGATCGGGAGGGGAGTGGGAGGACTACTGAGATCACTGATGGGGAGAACGGGCACTAGTGGAGGGATGGGTACTCGATCATTGTATAACTGAAACCCAAGCACAAAAGTTTGTAAGTCTACAACTGTACCTCATGGTGTTTCAGGAATAATAAAAAAAAGTATTTTCCTTTCTTTTCCTTGTTGTTGTTATGATGAACAAACATTGCAAATTGTTTCTTTTGTGCCAGAGATCTTTTTTGTGCTATAACTCCAGGTATCCCAGATGTCCGGCTGGCTACACACAGCATGTGTGGACAGTGTGGAGGCCAGGAGAGGGCAATTTATAATTTGATGTCTGCAGTGCAGGTGCTTGGACAATAAACTATACTCAGACCCTGACAAAGTTAAAATTTTTTTATTTAAAATTTTAAACATTAAAATAAGTTGAAAGTTACTTCTTTTCTCCCAAGTAATTGTCTTGTATAGAACACATCTTTGGCTAGATCTTGGTATAGAGGATAAGATGAATATAAATCTTTGGGTTTGATGAGCAGAAGACCTATTTTGTCAAATAGGTGTTCTATTTGAGAAATAGAACATGAAGTGGTGATACATGTAGAAGTAATTTTAACTAGAGTGGAAGGAGTAATGGAGAGTGAGGAAGTTTAGACAAACTGCTCTCATGTCTGATCAGAAAGAATAGCAATAACTGATCAATAGTTGATTTTCTTTACTACGGAAGGTCTAGATTGAAGCCCTTGAAAAAGAATATAATAATCAAGACACTTCAGAGAAACCAATTAGTGGGCTTGAGATTAGTGAATGGGTGGCTAGGCACTTGTTTTGTAAATGGTCAACTCTGGTTCAATCCCCTCCCCAACTGCTGCCCCACACCACACACAGCCAGGAATGATCCTCGAACACAGGATCAGAAGTAAGCCCTGAGTACAGCTGGTGTGTTGTCCTCCCCCACCACTGAAGCCAATTAACAGTGTAAGCATTGGTTATTTTCAACTTCTCATGTAAGAATAAAATAAGCAAAGCAGCAAAATCCTTGGCAGATATTTTGAGAGCTGTATTTTTATAACACTGTCTAGAGATACAAGTAGTTAATAGGTTTGCGGGGTATGGTGCCGCCAGCAGGTCAATCTGTACCTGTGAGGCGAGTGCATCAGCAGCCTCATGGCGCCTTCAGACTTCCAGATACCCCAAAATTGCTGCTGTGCCTTTGGCCAGACCCCAAAAACTTGGGGCAAAGTTTACCAAGAAAGTAAACGGCCAAAAGTTAGGTATGTGGGAAACACACCCACAAACCACCTCCGGCTCAGCTATATAATTGGAGGCAAGGCCTCTTTGGTTCCTGATTGAACTGCTTAATGGCCATGATCCCAGAGACTCAGAAACGAATCTCAGAACCCAGTGGCTTTAGGTAGAAATGCGTCTGGTCTCTGCAGTAGGCTACCGGTGCTGGGCTAACCCAGGTGGGAATAGGTTTTGTGCCTTTGCCTGTTCCCCCTGGTGGCCCAGTGGCCGCCATCTGTCTGAGGCCACTGGATAGTCACATTTGGGCCCCCAGTACGAGACACACAGGGCCTCACGGGATGGGGGTGGAGTCGGGCTTGTCCTCCCCACCCCAACGAGACCCCAAGTCATCGCCCATGAATGGCCTCTCTGGCTTCTGATCAAGCTGCTTAACGGCCATGATCCCAGAGGCTCAGAAACATCTCAAAACCCAGTGGCCTTTGGCAGAAATGCATCCGGACTCCACAGTACGTTACTGTCGCCTGGCCACCCCAGGGGGGAATGGGTGCTGTCCCTCCGCCTGCTCCCTCTTGTCGACTTGGTGGCTGTCATCCTCCAGAGGCCATTGGAAAGTCAGGCTTGGGCCCGCAGTGACGAAACTTGTTGGGTCTCACGGGATGGGGGGGGAGGTGGAGCCGGGCCTGTCTTCCCCACCCCAATGAGACCCCAAGTCATCGCCCACGAATGGCCTCTTTGGCTCCTCATCAAGCTGCTCAAGGGCCATGATCCCAGAGACTCAGGAGCAGATCTCTAAACCCAGTGGCTTTTGGCAGAAATCCCTCCAGATTTAAGTGTTAAAATTTCAGAATTTCAGAACCACATGGCTCTACTGCAGCCACACGACATCATATGTTATTCATAACCAGCAGTAGAACACATATTGTCTATTGTT